ACTTGCATAAATTTATACCTCCATTCGTTGAATGAATTTGTACCCTATAAAGTTTCAGGTCAAGGAAAATTTGATAATGGATGCACGTTGTGAACTTTTTCCAATAGCTTTTGTTGAAGTCCCCTCGATGCCGCCCACCACTATCAAACAAATTTCCAGTGAAGGAGAGAAATGCGCGACGTACTTGGTAGTCGACGCACACTTTGCTTCCCTTGATCTCGTGGATATTTGTCGACTTGCATGCTCCTCGAGAGATGCAAGCGCGCTACGCATACCCTCGACGGATCAAACAGGTGCTCTCACTGGAAACAGGCTTTCATACTCACCAGTCGTTGATTTTGCCGATGGCCGAGCAGCACGTGGTGCACCCAAGCACCAAGAAGAAACCAGCAAACAGATTCACTCTCCAACAGGACGTAGATCTCATAAAGGAGGTGATTGCAGTCTCACCACACAATGCTCCATACGGCCAAATGAGTTCTCGATGGTCAGAGGTTGGGAGCAACATGCGTGCCATTCACGGCAGTGATCTGACTGCCAATGGGTGCAGAAAGCGTTGTGACGACCTGCTCGCTGCATTTCACAAAGACTGCATTGCATCATTCCGTGCATCGGGAACCGACGAGCAATACAACGAGCGAGAGCAGCTACTTCAAGACCTGTCCGACATGGTGTGTCTACATGGCGGAATCGTGACTAACACTGCCTTTGTAGAGTGACTCAATATCCGACAAGAAGCGACAATTCAAGGAAGAGAAAGGAAGAAAGAGGACAAGCGGGAGGTGGACGGCAACATGATCCGTGAGGCTGCTATGGTTGCTATGACACGAACCTTGGCTGATGCGGACCACGAGAGCAGCGATACCGATGGCTCCTCAACGACTTCAGTAAACGAGCAAAGAAAGCCTCAGTAGACGGAACAGCGAACACCATTCTTGCGATATCATCGTTTTTGGAAAGTGCGAACGAGTGCAAGTTTCAAGAAATTACCCTGCAAAGAGAAGCCAACGCCATTGCCGCTCGAAAGTTGGACTTGGAAGAAAAACGATAACGATACCTCTTAGACAAGTCCATACGAGAAGCACGGTTCTCCTTGTAACAACAGGAACGTCTAGCACAGCTAGAATTCTTAAAGGGCACGCTGGAAATGATTCGCACTATCCCAAACAAGAACCAGTAGATAATAAACTGCATTGCGCTAACTCAAAATTTGTTGTCTTCATGCATGGTAGTTTTTAGAATGCAAATACTCCTTGGCTGTTGGAGGATTAATTCCAAAGAAGCTTGAAACCTGGTTGCCTTGTTTCATGCATGTGTGCAAGTTAGTTAAAATAACCGCAACACTGTAATGCACTTCAACTGACTGCAACCACAATTTTTGCCCCCCTTTGTAATCAACAAATGTCCACAAATTGCGAACAATACCAAATCCCCACTCGACGCTGACGCGCACAGCACTCATGCGCCGGTTAAATTCCGCTTCGGCCTCGCTCAACTTGGCTCCTTTATATCCCGACACGACGACGTCGTTGATGCCATAGGCTGGTTCGCCATAGATAACTAGTCGAGTGTCACCAGTGACAAGCTTGTTCACAAGATCACTTCGCGCTAGAACGTAGGCATCATGTCTAGACATAGTATCCTCTCAGCAGTCGATAGAAAGTACTGTTCTTACCTTGTGGCTATTGTACGCGGCTTTTTGAACACCTTTTCCAGGGCGGCAGATTTCACGCACAGTGCCATCAATAAATCCAATACAAGTCGAAAGAGGAGCGCCATGTTTATGTATCGCGTTTGCACATTTGCGCAACTACTCTTTGTCCAGGCGCGCGCAGTCCCATTCGA